TGTGTTCTCTACAGTGTATTGTGTTCCTTTTATATATTTATTAAAATAAATATTAATTATATTTATTTAATTTATAAATTTATTTTTATTTTATTTTTTCTCACCAAGGAGACGCGAGATGAAAGAGTTGGCGTCAAAAGGATCAAAATCATCGAAGTGCTCGCCGCTACCTAAAAATATTATCGGGGCCCCAGTTGCAGCAACTCTGCATGCAAATAAATAAATAAATAAATAAAATAAAATAAAATAAAATAAAATAAAATAAAATAAAATAAAATAAAATAAAATAAAATAAAATAACATAACATAACTTTATGTTTTTTATCTAGAAACAAAATACGTATGATACATGTACGCGTGTATGTATACAAGGAAGAAGCCATAGAGCAAGTGCTAAACCCTAGGGAAGCTTTGAGGGTTTAGGGTTTTATAAACCCTAAACCCTAAACCCTAAACCCTAGACTTGCATCCCGCGCACACTGTATCATCCGGTTTCCCCCATACGAGCCTAAAGACGGCTTAAACTTTCAGAGCCATAAATACCTCGAGTATAAAAAATTAGGGTTTAGGGTTTAGGGTTTAGGGTTTAGGGTTTACGTACGCTGAGAGAGCACCACCACCCTTTGCGTGCCCGTCTAGCTTCGTTATAATTACACTACCAACGGGAACACTCGCAGCAAAGGCTGCAGCCTGATCGTAGCAGGCCTGGCCTATATGTGAATCCACCACAAACACTATGTCGTCAGGGTTCTGAAACACAACAAACCCTAAACCCTAAACCCTAAACCCTAAACCCTAAACCCTAGACTCTATACCCTGAGGTGGAAAAGGGGAAATAAACATTTCCTTTATCTGTATGAACAGAAAGGAAGGAACACGCGGCTGCATAGAACAGAACATAATCTCACCTATAAACCCTAAACCCTAAACCCTAAACCCTAAACCCTCACCACAGCCTCTGCAACTTGTTGCATTTCCTCAAACAACGCTGCTTCTTGTCGGTGTCTGCCTGATGTATCTACTATAATTAAATCGTATCTTTCGTCTCTGAATTGCTGCACACCCTCTTCAGCTATCTTCACAGGGTCAGCCTCTGTGTAGCTGC